TGAATTTGAATTTGTTTCTTATTTTTAAAAGGCTTTTATTTAGCCGCAAATGTTTTCAAAAGAACTCCGAGATTTTTTAATCTAGTTGATTGCTTTGCCACATGGATAAGAGCATTAATCTGCTTAAATCTGTGTAAACATGGTAAAACTTCTTCCTTAAAAATCCATAAGATATAGCAGTTTTATTCGGAATTTATTGCAAGCTTCACGAACATTAAATTGTGTAAGTACTAAGATAATCTAAGTATAGCAGTTTTAGTCTGCCTTATGCAAGTAGCTATGGATCGTATCGAAATACTCATTTCACGATCAGACATTTTGATATACAACTATAACGTAAAGTTGTGCCAAACCGATTTTCAGTCACACAGACAGACGGCCAAACAATCATGGCTATATAGTATTATAACTGGGAGTCAAACAACTCTTTTATGACAAATTCAACTTTCATTGTCTTAATTTCTTATTCATCAGCGTTCCAGTTGGTGTTGTGAGTGCGAAAATTACTTTGGTATGTCATTATTAAAATAATAAGAGGCAAAAACATCTTTGAATGAGGGTCATGCTTACAAGTACACTAAAAGACCTTTTCCTATTTTGTTGACCCACAATTTTTGAGCTCCCTTGTAACCCCTGTGCAACAGCATTGGAAGCTTGTTGTTATTTCGCGTGAACGCCCAACAAAGCACATGTGCCCCGGTACCGGCATGTTGCTTGATCGCCTTTCTGCAGACCCGCTTGCTCACGAACCGGCTGCCCATGTTGTCACGCTTTAAAAATACATGCGACACGCAGAACACTTTCAAAAACCTGATTTCGGGCTTTTGTTTTCGCCCTCTCAGCAGCTTCGCACAATTTACAAGCGAGTTGATGTTGAAAAAAAAAAAAAAACGTGATAGTATAGACTACGAGTATATATGTATATACACATATCTCTTTAAAGCAGCACCGAAAACTGACGTGATTTGCATGATAATCAAACAAATAAAATTAGCGAGCGCAGACTGCATGGCAGTTGCGATATGTAAATTTAAAGACAAAAATCTAACCAAGTGCTATTAATTAGCTGTTGAAAAGGCTAATTTCCACCTTCAATGGCCACCAAGAGCCATAGTATATACAGCGTCGAGTGCCCACCTATTTTATCATAGCTGTCGAAGTATTTGCTTCGTTTTTATTCTCTTTGACACTTGGGCCTTAAGCATTAGCCACTCACTTGCTCAGCTGTCTAACTGTCGACTTTTTCTATAATTGGCTGTCAAATGACAAATTCAAATAATAACATTGAATAAATAAATAGAAACGTGCGGTATTGCGGCGCAGGTGTCGTTCTCGCACTTTGAGGAGCTGTAATTGGGCAATAAACACTAGGCTCATAGCACGTCGTGCTTTACATAATTATTAGCAACAATAATGACGATGGGCTCATGAGTAAGTTGAGAATCTAATTATGCAACCATTTAATTGTTATTGTGAAGCATAAAACTAATGTTCAGCTTAAAAGCCTGTACCGTCAACTGTCATGGATCCGTTCACAAATTCAGACTCAGTCACTTTTTTCCACCATGAAAAGGCCATGTCCAGTTGACAAGCATTTTTATTTGTCAGCCGATTCAATTTTACTTCATTTCTCATTTTTCGATTAAAGATTTATATAGTGTGGAAATACTACAGTTGGATGTTGCTCTTTTACAGACTTAACAGGACTATTATTTCTGACATATTAAGCACTTTGGTGGAATTATTTTGCTCTAGCTTTAGCCGATTAATATATTACACGTTTTCAAAGCGGAAGAAATACATATCTTTATTATGTGAAAGTTATTTTAAACGGATGGAGATATACAAGGTGTGTTCCAAAGTAAACAGGACTTTTTGAAAAAAAAAAAAAAAAAAAAACAGAACAAATGGTTTTTTCGGCTAAAAAATCAATTTATTTTATTCAAAATAGTCTCCTTCTGCTTCAGTACAGCTTTTTGCACTATTCAAAAGAATGTCGAACGAGTGTTTTAGCTCGTTGGCCGGTGATCACGAATTTTTATTGGCCCACATGTTGATCGTCATTTATGTCCTCACGACCACTTTGAAAATGTTGAAACCACTCGTGCACTCTGCTACGGTATAGGCAATCATAGCCATAAAATTGTTCCATCAATTGAAACGTTTCGGTAAAAGTTTTACCAATTTTAAAACAAAATTTCATGTTGGCTCTTTGTTCGAAGCTCATTTTCGCACCGATAACTCAAATATACTGACACTTAAAACGCAATAACTTCACTTCCAATCGATGAAATGTCATGAAATTCTCACTGGACAATCGATAAAGATAGCATATTCTAACGCACCAGTCGACTTATAGATAGCGACACCAGGGGCGCTATATTCAAATAGGCCTGTTTACTTTGGAACACACCTTGTACGTATGTATATAGAAATCATATGATTCAGTAGATTTTAGTATGAACAACATCTTCGTTTAAAACGAAATTGGAACAAAGCTGTTGTTGTCCAGGCATCACTTATGGCCAAGGTGTCCAAGGATAATTAAATATTCAGTGACACTTATACATAGTACATAGAACTTTTCATGAAGGGCATATATCATGGTTAACAACTTAGCGCATTTTGTTATTTATAAAATCATTCCGTTTTTTACAACCAAAGAGAATTGGCATAATATGCATATATATAAATATAATCTTTTGCAGCGTGGCAAGACAAGGCCAATCATGTCCGTGTGCTATTTTATTTTATTTTAGATACATTATATATGGGTGTTTTTATACCACCCACAAATCTTGGCAGAAATCAGAAAATTTCAAGTCAGTTTTTTCACGATCGTAGCTCAGACTCCTTTGGAAAATTGTTGGAGAAAGTTAGTGAGTAGCACGCGATGAGTTCAACAACATCGGGAAAATTTCGTGTGCTTGTGATTATTTTTTGCGAATGACCTTTGCAATGATAGTGTGGTTTCGGCGCAAATTCACTTTAATTATAAAGACAAATCAAAAAATTAAAGAAGTGACTCAGAGTATTGAAATTCTGTGTCACAGGATAAGAACAGGATTTTTAAGATTCTGAGTATGAAGAACCAGTATCAAAAGGGTTCACTCTGTACGCCACACAATAGCAAAGGCGCGTTGTGTACCGGAGTATAACATCGCTATAGTAACGCGATAAAGAAATTTAGAACTATATGCACCTAGTAATTCTGTTTTACACGGTCCTTTTTTACACTGTCAAAACAGAACTAGGCGTATACAGTATATGCTTTAATATAAGTACACCTAATTCTGTTTTTACACGGTCTTTTTTCAACGATTTTGATATAACGGTTTGAAAATTAAAAAGTTCATATATGTATATTTCTTTAGAGATAAGAAACTAATCACCTATTTTTGCAAATGATCAATGTCTTTTTGTACACAGTAAAAACAGAATTCGAAATGCAATTTACAAGCACATGGCAATAAATTACTGACTCATAAAAAATAATTAAAATCTGCCATTTAATGGGAGTGTGATGAACCATCGGGTCCAAACAAATATACATGCATACACGATGTCTAATATTAAAGCTCTGATGTATGCTTAGGCTCGTTTTAAAAATATGCATATTTATGTGGTAATTAAGTACCAACCATCCATCAACGTCCACTTCAAAAACGACAGTCAGCTTTTGTAAATATCATACCACAAATAAAATAGTATATGCATGCTAATAAAAATTCTTCATTATAAAAACCAGAAAGGAATGCTAGAGTGGAGTGTACCCGACTCTTAAATACCCTGTGTCCACTGATAGACCTTGATCAAAGATTGCATTATTGATTTGCATATCTGATTATAACATATAATCAGAAAAAAAAGTAACTTGCATTTCATATATATACAAGGCACAATATGGTGCCTCTAGCTCCTATAATCTCTGAGATCTAGCTGTTCATACGAACGAACATACAGATAGACCGACATAGATAAATAGACTCGTCTTGGGAGATCTGCTTGTTACATTTTTCACTTTGCACAAACCTAATATACTACTCTTGTGCCCCTTTCAGACACAGTGTATAAAAATGTCATTAAGGACATTTTAAATAAGCACTGAGAATTACAGACCCTTCAATATTAAATGGTGGTGACTCCGATTGCAATGCACACACGTCTTCAAAACAGGTTGTTTTGTAAAATCGAATGGAAAATGTTCTTGTTATTATACCCTGTACCCAAAGGGTACAAGGGTATATTAGTTTTGTGCGAGTGCACATGGAACACACAGAAGGAGGCTTGGTAGACCCCACAAAGTATATATATTCTTGATCAGCATGACAAGCCGAGTCGATATAGCCATGTCCGTCTGTCCGTCTGTCTGTCTGTATGAACGCAAGGATCTCCGAAAGTATAAGAGCTAGAATAACCAAACTTGGTATACAGATTCTCCTGAGACCGAGAAAGGACGAGTTTGTTCATTTTTTCTGATCCACCCCCCACTCCCCCCCTATTAACGATTTTCTATAACTCCCGTAATTCCTGGAATTTTGAACTAAAATTTGGTAATCATATTAGGTTAGTTATTATATAACCATATACCAAGTCTCATTATGATAGAATGATTGGAAAGAAAGTTATAGCCATATAACCAGGCCCAATGCACACATACATACATATGTACAAGTACACAAACACGCATAAGGCACGATTCTGATGTAAATGTAAATGTATGTATGCATGCATGGACTATTTTATATTTAATTTAGTTAATTAATTAAATTAATTTAGTTAATTAATTAAATTAAATTAATTAATTAATTAAATTACTTTTTTGTGGGGTGGTACAGGGTATTTAAGAGTTGAGCCTGCTCGACTTTAGCATTCCTTTCTTGTTTTTAAGCTCAATAATAAATCAAGTTGATTACAAAATGCGAAATTAGTTCATAAGTCCTAAACTCTCCAAATTTAAATTCTGTCCTGTTCTATGAATAAATAGAAACTCTACGACGTTCAGTTTCAATTTACAAGCTTTATTTCATGTAGTTCCTACTCGAACTTAAAATTGTCTCATTTCGATTTTAAATTGTACAACACAAAAATAAAGAAACGCAGTAACTTAGGAGCGAAGTAGAGAAAATAGAAGGGGAGAACTACTAATTTACATATTTGGAGTGCTTTTCTTACACTTACACATAGGCTTATGTTTTACATACATTTTACAGCGTCGACATATACATCATATCATAGAATGTACTCATATTTAATATCATTTTTTCATCATACTTATAATTCAATTATTTATTTGCTACATATTTTAATCATGTGCTTATAGAACTAAAGTGGGAGAAGAGTAGAGGAAATTATAAACCATTTTTTCTTTTGTTGTAAAGCGGCATAGAAAATGTTTACAATATTATTTATAAATAGACGTTGCTTAAATATACATCTATATATTATATTGTATATAGATCAATAATTTTTGATTCGTTTTCTTTGTTTGCAAGAGCTTGTTTCAATTACTTTAGGAATGTTTTAATTTGCTTGCGCTGCTTGTTTGAAGTCGTAGAAGAAGAAGCAACCGCATCGACCAGAGTATAGGTATAAAAAATATTAACTTTTCTTTGTATGCCTCCTTCTTCCTCTTTTTCTTCTGCTTTGTTAAATGTTGCTTCATTCATGCTGCACGTGCTGCGACTTAGCAGCGACACTGGCATTGTTCCAAGTCGTTCAATATACGTGTGAGTGAGTGTTTGATTGTGTGTCTAATTGTTTCTCTCTGTGTATGTGTGCGTGTCTCTCTCTCTGTGTATGTGTGTGTGTGTGTATGTGTATGAGTGTGTGTTTATTTATGTTTTATCTTTTCAAAGACGGGTACAACAGGTACAACAACAACAACAATTAAACGCTACATTAATTACTGAACTCGCTTTCGTCGCATTTGTATTTGGAATGTGTGTTCTTCTACAGATTCAACACGAAAGCCACAAAGAGGAGCGGGAATAGCATCATGACTGTGCTGCTTATTGCTGTTGCACCACCACCACCTGCACCACCGAATCCAGCCAGCGCCGCATCTTTATGGGGATTGGCTAAATTGTCGGGCACATCATTTGAGTTAACCTCATTACTGGCCGGGGAATCCTGCAGAGTCTTTTCCAATGTATCGGGACCCGAATGCTTATCACCCACATGCTCTACATGGACCAATGGCGGTTCGTTGATGGGCGTCGGCTCATTGGTGCTGGTGGTAGTCGCATGTGTTGTCGTCGATGTGGTTGAAGTAGTTGTTGTCGTTGGCACAATAGTTCCGTTTTCAATCCAATAGACTGGACTGAACTCGAGCTTCACATCCTTAAGATAGCTTTTGCGCACCTGGAATGACATTAGGATCATTATAGTAAGACTCTAGCACTTTCATGTCACGCACCGCACTTACCTCCGAAGTGATCTTACGCGAAACGCTCTCATCGCTGCCATAGTAAAAGGCAAACAGCTTGGCCGTATAGGGTGCCTCCAGGGTCACATAGTTTCCACGCAGGGTCACATTAATCGCCGTACCGGGCCATAATTTTGTGTGCACGGACTTGGTCTCGTAACGTTTCTCGCTGTGCTTCAGGCCCCAATTGATTTCTGCTGGCGTAGCGACATCCTTCTCGAAAACCTTAGTGGGCAAACCACGAGCGACGCCCTCGTGAGATCCCCAGTACTGCATGTAGTTGAAGTGGTAAGATATTACCGTCTCTACAGTACTGTAAGTCTCTCCAAGGTTCTCCAGCTTAGTGGTAGCTGCAATACAAAAGGTGAGTTAGGATCGTTACATTAATGCTCGAGTGAATCACTTACTCAGCTCAGTGAGGTTCTCTCGCAGGTCGGTGCGCAGACGATCCAGCTTTATGTCACGCAACTCGTAACGGAATGGCTCGGTTTCAACCAGCACCTCACCCTCGGTGTAATACTTCTCTCGCTCATTCTCCACCACCTTTATCTTGCCCATGCCCACTTTGTCCAAGTGGCCCAAATTGTAGTCGGCGCCCCAATGCTGCTCGTGCTCGTGCTCGGGATTCTGCTGCTGCTGCTCGGCATGCTGTTGATGATTTGGGGCCCGATGGCGTGCGATGTAGGAATCGTCAGCAATGCGTATTGCGCCCACAGGTACACCAGCATTGAACTTACGCCATGGCTTCCAGGCTACCTTGCCCAGGTGGCCCTTGTTCACCAGAACGTCGAAGCTCTCGTACTTGCCACGCTTGTAATGCGCCGCCACGCACTGATGCCGCTGCTTAATTTTCTCGGTGTGACCAGATGTGGGCACTCCATCGATAGTCACGCGACATACATAGATCGGATAATGCTCATCCTCAGTAATGTATTTGCCGCCCTCGACGGCAAACTCCAGTTGCTTGGGATCTTTGGAATCGTACGTCTCCCACACCAGCGTACTGGAGGTCAGCAGTTGACCCTGCTGAATGGAGGCATTTTGGTATGTAAAAACGGGATGTACAGCGGCCGAGGTCGGCATGGCAAGCTGCAGCAGCAGCGACAGCGAGAACAGAGACCCAATTCTGTATAGTCGCGGGCTCATGGCTCTGTTTGTACTTCGTCGCTGACGTTCAGTTTTCAAGTTCATTTTTATGTGACCCATATATTGTGGAATATTGAAGATAAATGCACTGCAAAGAGATAAAGGCATACAATTAGTTATTACTTTATAAAAAGTTATTTAGAAATTGAAAAAGTAATAGTCAGAAGGCCACACAAAGTATATATATTCCTCACATTATGTATGACAGCAACACTCCAAAAATACAATATGGTTCCATATAAGAACTGCTTCTAAATCATATCTATATCATAAAATAATTGTCAGTGCAAAGTATCAACACAGCTCTAATGCGTTAAAACTATGGAAAGATAGATAGATTTGAATTCAATTGTTTAAGCTTATTATATATATATGTATATACTAGTATAACAGGTGATCAACGATTACACTTGCACGTAAAAGTATATATATGTATATGCAGCCAGATTTAGCATGTATACTTGTCCATAAGTTTATTAAAAATCTGCAAACTGACCTTTGCAAAAATTAATTCGAGCAGAACTTAGTCAAGTTTAAGTATACCGAATAATTTCTCAAAATATAAGTCAGTTCTAATACCTATTTATTATGTGCGATTACAATTTTTACATTAGATATATGCGATTATAGCCACATCTCATCTTAGACTTTCTGGAAATAAATATATTTGGAAACTTTGCCGCGGATAGGCCAACAGAAGTCAATGTACCTGCACAGCCAGGCCACTGTATTCAGGTCTTACTTGTATACATGTACCTGTATATAATCGTATGCATGCATTATTTAAATTTGACAACACTGTCACTTGAACTCAATGTGCCCTACCAAGAAGAGCAACAACAACAACAACAACATCAGCCACAGTAACAATAGCTACTTCAAAGTTGCCGACTCGCCTTCCCAGAGCTAGCAGCAGTCCCAGTCGTGTCGCTAGCTCTTGAAACACTATCACAATAACAACAGCAACACATCATTTGTCAGAGTGGCAAACAAATGATGTTGCATGTAACCTTATCATCTCATATCCGTTGCAGACAACGGCTACAATGGCAGCGACAAGCGACCACTGCAGTGCAGTACAGAGACACACACACACACACACACACACACACACACACACACATGCACACATGCACCTAAGGTCAAGCGCTAAGGTTAGGGCAAGGCAAAAAGAGAAAGCCACAGCACGAACACAATGGCCACTACAGAGAAGAAAGCTCGCATAGGTGAGGCGAAGGCATCAGAGAGAAGTCGAGTGGACGCGACTAGACACCGCACAATGGCTGCTAATGAATAAACATGGCGCACGTCCACTTCCGCTGCAGTGTTTTTATATTTTTTGTTCCTTTTGCTTGCCCCCAAATGAAGTTATAAAGTAACGTATACGCCATGTGTCACCTACACACACAGTTGGGTAAACAAGCGACAAATTTATCGACTATGCAGTAACATGCTGCAAAAATCCCTACTCCAATAAACCAATGTGCAAACACATATGCTGCCCCCGACCCGCTCTATCCCCCTGCGGCTCAAGTGCTTCTGAGTCTGTGACATTGACGAGTCTAATGACCAGCACAATGTTGACCGACGCAGGCTACGTCAGCAAATATGTTATGGTAGGCGGACATGGGCACGATGGTGCCCATGGTGAGAGTGATGAGAAGATGTATTTTATTACAGCAACGCTGGCATTGTTTATCCTTTTAAGCTTTTAATGGCTGTGCACAAATGTTTGCCCTCTGGCGGGGTATCGCCTATGAACAGCCACACTTCCGCCCTATCTGTGCCTCAGGGCAAGGGCTGCTGCTGCTGCTATCCACAGTGGCATGTGTAGGCGCCGGCAATTTTGTTGAGTCAACGCTTTGTTTGCTATTCACACGCAGTGAATATGTCCAGCGCCACACGCTTGAGCCGGACATAAAAGTTGCACCAATCGTGGAAAGTTTGTTTAAAGTGGAAAGTTGCAAAAAGCATGTATGTATAATGAATTGACCGGCGTTATATTTTTGGACCACCAGATGACAAAATTTGTAAGTTCATATTTTCAATTGAGAAATTGTAAAAATTTGAGAATATTTTGCAAGGGTCAATGTATATTTCTGAAAATTAAAATGTAATGTTCATTTGAGCGTCATGTAAAAGTTTCAAAATCCCGGAAAGTGATTCTTGATAGATAGATTTTGTGCCTTAGCTTATTGTACGCTATTTAAACTTCCAACGATTTTTCTTTTAGTTTTGTCGTAAAAATAAACCAGTAATGGAACATTCATTTACATATACAACCACGTTTTTCAATGGTAATGGCGGATTCAAATAAATTATTAATATATACACACGAGTATAAAGTGTTTTTAGTCTATGGTACAGGAATACATTTTTGTACCATGTACCCGAAAGGTAGACTGAATAGTCTAAGCGTCCGCAGAAAGAGGTGTGCTTATATATACGTTACGTTTATATATATGATTAATTATAGCTAGAAAACATCAATGAAGTCATACACAGAGCCAGTTTATCATTAAAACCATATAAAGCATTTTTATTGTATATATGTATAGTACATAGCTGTCAAGGGTGAAATAGGTACAGAAACCATTTCAATTTAGATCAAGCTGAACGATAGGAACGATTAGGAAAATATTATATTAGTTGAATGTCTGCCAAAGAGGGCTGCGGCTACATAATATAGAAGAGCCGGGGTCGCACAACTTTAACATTATACCCGTTGGATATCAAATATATGTATTTTGTGTTGCACAAAATATTAAAATACATATTATACAGTGCACAAAAGAATATATGCATATACTTGTATGTACGTCTCTCAAAAGGTAAACATGCTAGCAATTAAAACCGCCCCTTCATGTTGAGCTACCAATATTTATTAGCAGCAGTTTTCAAAATGGTAATCATGACTTGCTCGCAAGTTTCAACAACAACGTTATAATCCTTCATTTAAATATCCACTGGCTGTTAATAAGTATGTGGTGGCTGTGGCTCCGGCCAATTGTCTTGCTTCGCCAAAACAACAAACAAGTGAGATCGAATTAATCGTGTGCGAAGGTTGAAATGAGACTAACGTTGACGAACGGCCCTTGGTAATATTACAAAAGGCGGAAAAAGCTAAATGCATTTTTAAGAGCTAAAATTCCCGCTTCCCGCAATTTGAAATACTTTCCGCAATTTCTTTTCAATAAAAAGAACCAGATTTGATGGGGAAAAAGCGAAATTGGCAACACTGGCCCTAACACTGCACCTGCATTCGCAGATCAACCGCTACAATGAAAGCAGGAGCTCTGTCAAATTGCAATGTTAATTGGAACAAGAGAGCGCCGCAGAAACAGCCGAATTACAGTATGTTGCATTCGCAGATCGACCGCTGCAATGAAAGCAAGAGCTCTGTCAAATTACAATGTTAATTGGAGCAAGAAAGCGCTGCAGAAGCAGCCGAATAACAGTATGTTGCATTTGCAGATCGACCGCTGCAATGAAAGCAACAGCTCTGTCAAATTATAATATTAATTGAAGCAAGAGAGCGCTGCAGAAGCAGCCGAATTACATTATGTTGCATTTGCATTTGATCAACCGCGCTGCGTTGAGAGCAAGAGCGCTGCCAAATAACAATGTTAATTTGAACAAGAGAGCGCTGCAGAAGCAGAATTACATTATGTTCTGTTACAGCGATTTTTATGCTAACAGCGAACGATAATGGGTTATGAATTTACTCTACAAAATGAAGGATATTGGTATTAACTTAATAAGATTGGGATGACTTCGCTGCCGAACAGCCCACTTTATCTTAATATCTCTTAACCTTTTTGATATACTCGTATGTATTTAAAATATGTAAGAAAGAGACTTAGACTTAGAACATCAAATACAAACATAAATAAAAGTGAAATAAATGCAAAAAGTCCGCGGTTGATGCTTTATCTCCACCGTTCTATCCTATTTGTTTACCTACGAAAAATGTACAATCTTTAAGAATCATTATTTATTAACTTCATTACATCTGAGTTGTTGTTTATAATTCTCTTCGTACATCCGTCTGATTTTTGCTCTTTGTGAATAAGTCGCACAAATCCCATTACTGACTGACTGATCTCAGCATAACTGCCACGCTTTTAGAGTTACTTAGGTGGGCTTACAAGTACAGTTTTTATTTACAACAACTTTAGTTGGAAATAATACGCTGCGACGCACCGGAAGTAAGTGTCATAAAAACTCGAACCATGCACCAAATGCGTGCACTCTTGAATATAATTAATACAATGCATAAATTGACCCCTTGAAGCCCATAGTTGACCTCGTTTTTGCAGTAATAAGTACTATATACAAGTATACGAGTGTGTGCTAAAAATAGCGAGTGCTCAACAAATTAAGTTCCAAGAATGTCAGAGCTCAAGAGGCAAAAAAGTTGACTATTAAGGGAGCAAGAATTATGAGAAAGAGGATGGTTAGGCGGCGTTGAAATTCAATTGCAGCCAGTAGAGTGCTTTTGAAGTTCAGTTAGCTTTATTTATGAAATTCAAATGCCGTCTAACTTTATTGTGGGTAGTTTCTCTTTGGTTTATTGCAGGTTGATTCATTTAGATTTACGAGCAACGGACGCTGCAATTGTCGGCGGTGAAAGGTCTGCGGGCGCACAACCACTTGCAACTTGGCTGAACAGCGACCAGACGGAGAACGCGTCATTTTAATTGGATTTTATTGAACTTTGACTCTGACCCTCATAGTCACGATGCAGTGGCGACGATGCGCGCAACTGCTAGTTGTTGTTGCTGATCTGTGCGCTGATTGCGCTGCAGTTGCATGTGCAACAGGAGGTTATGCCTCACAATTGTTTTAGGCTGCACTCAGCGCATTCTATCATGAGTTATTTGCCTCATTATGGGGGCAGTTTTATGTGCATACTGTCCACCGGACCTGATCGCGCTTTAATCAGCTCAATTTATGACATCATGACTTTGACACCCCAACAATCTCACAACACATGCATAATTGAAGCAGTTCATGAAGTGTGGCATGGATTGTTTTTTCACGCCTAATACTACGTAGTTGGGTTCACTGCACTTGTTGGCCGCTGGC